ACTCAGCAAAACACATATGATAACAAATAGAATCCGTTACTTCATACAAGATGAAAAATGAAAATTTCGAATCATATGGTTGAAAGTTATCACAAGCATCCTAGTGTGGTTAGCTTAAAAACAAAAATTAAAGCCTTAAAAGTGATAAATGAGAAAAAATATTCAAAACGATGAACATAATGAATAAAGAAATTGTAATAAATGAAAATGAATACTTACGAACTACGAATAAATCCCAAGGGTAGAGGAAAAAAGATCAACATATTTATTCCATTACACTTCAAATAAAAATGATATCTTTTCATTTCTCTCTCATCATGGGGAAGAAAGGATCATCAGTTTGCAAGCCTTACATATAATTTTGATTATTCATTTTCAAGTGATATTCATGGTTACATTGGTTTGGGTAACATATCTTTATCATACTAACCGAATGTTCACTTTAAGATTTTATTTATTATATAAACATAGTTTACACTCATTGAATTTAGATAGATGACAATTTTAAATTTCAAAACCGATGGTTGAAAGTTATCTTGGCTAGATCGAAGCAGATGAATGACAAAATGTATTATTTATTTTCAAGTCGTATTAATCGTTACAATAGTTTAGTAAAAACTTTTTTATCATTGTGCACGAATATCCCTGCTAACCGATACATTGAAATGCCAGGTAATAAAAGTAAAATCAATAATTAAGATAAACATACAATTTATGACCGTAACAAAAAATAACAATTTAAATTTAAGGCCGATGGTTGCAATTTAGTATGCATATGTGGTTTCAAGATTACAACACACGGGCTTTGTATCGTATTGCGCTAAACATATAGGGTGGTATTCTCGAAAGCGGCCTAAGTTAAATCAGTGGCCTAAACCTGGTTTAAACCATGGACTATCTTTTTTGCTATTCTCGAAGGTGGCCTAAAGATAAGCCAGGCTTAAATACGTCATAGTTCGGCCTAACTTTAGGCCGCTCAGAGGGCAGGTTTAAATACGTCATAGTTCGGCCTAACTTCGCGTGACGTCACTTTTTAGTTAAATCGACTGTCCGCGGAGAGTGAACGGTAAGTTTTGCATTCGAATTTCTATATTTGATAACAATTTACACTCTTTTGTATGGATAAGCGCTCATGAAAGTTACACCAGCTAATAAAGTATTTTTGTTACTTTCATGTTGCTGTACTGGTGATAATCTAAAATGCTTTTAACTGAATAAATTTGGGGGAAACTTGGTAAATGTTCACAGTGTTCGCAGAGCAGTCCCATACGTGCAAATAATTGTCGGTTAACATTTTCATTTCCTGAGATTGAGCAATTTCTTACCGGGTAATTTTTTTCTTGGCACTATTGTACTTTCGTACGCTTATACCACCTTAACATCACCTTAAAAATATCATTGCTAGACGTAGAAACTACTTTTATAGTGGATTTTCGAGACGCTGTTGCCTAAAAGTGGACTAACACTAGGCCTAAATCTAGATCTAGCTGTCTCTTTCGTTCGTTAGCCTCTGATTTGGTCGGCTCCTCTCTTTCAGGAGCCGACCCTACCCAAATCAGAGGCTAACGAACGAAAGAGACAGAAATTTCGGTCTGGTATCACCTCTGCCTGAGCTGCAGTGCTAGTTGTGGCTGTTGGTGCGATCATTTCCTACAGGATGATGATGATTTTCATAACCACCCCCAAGAAAATATTTTTTTAAAAATGTTAGGCCTACTAGACCTAGATAATCTAGACCTCTAGCCGGCTCTAGACTAGATCTTAATTTCATCAATAAGAGTCTAGTCTAGACAGGTCTAATACAAATTGAAAGGAAATGGACAGAAGCTTCCTTTTTTTGACATAGGTCTACATTTGCTGATAATGTTACAGTAGTTTAGGCTTATAATACTTGTTAGTAAACTAGACGTCTACAGAGAAATTGTAATTTCTTATCAAATATCAACATATTTTTTCATCTTGATTTTCTGCTATTTCAGGTTCTTTTCAATTGATGCATGGGGATGGAGAAAAAAAAGGCCTCTCCCAAGCTATGGTGTCCCGCCTTGTGAAGTCCATCTCAATAGCCATTGCCAGGAGATGGGAGCAATACATCACAATTCCTTCAGCAAGAGAGGTAGTCCTGCAGAGTGCAGACCCAACATGAATTGTATAATTACTGCCATTTCCCTGGCGTTAATATGGTCGGTGCTATTGATTGCACCCACATAGGCATCTCTAAGCCAGTTGGCCCAACACCAGTTATTTCCTGAACAGGAAAATATAGATACTCCATTTTTCTTGGAAAGTCTGCTGGTGAGTTAAGCTGTAATTACGCCTAAATTTTGTAAACTAAATCATGTTTATACAATTTGTATTAAAATGATCTGCTGAATTTATGAATCTGCAGATGTGTCTACAGGTACATTATGAAGTGATTTAAAATTGTTTTGTCTGGTAAATGTAGGTGCAACCTACACTCAAACTTTTATTCATTTTACATGGGCACGAGCTAATATTTCAGCTTGATTGCCATGGTTACCAGTCATTCCTGACAGTGACAGCTTGGCCTAGACTTTTGGGCGGAACTATCTGAAAATAAGACACAAATAATCAACAGTTGACTAACTACTTTCAAATTTGGGTCAGAAGAAAATTCAAACCTACCACTAACAATTCTGGAACAAATAAGACTTAGAGACCTACAGACTACAGTACAGTGCAGTAAATTTTACTTTTACTTTTTCCCCTTTCACGAAGCTCATTTTGGGAGATAACATAAACAAAGACAATCTTTGGTCTAATGTTAGATTGAACTGAAATGGAAAAGTTGGGCTCTAACGATTAGGGCCTTGTAAAATCTCCATTCCAGGCTGCGTTTACATCTAGGTTGGGCCAACTGTCGGCTCGTTATCTAAGTAAGATGTAGACTTGATTTCAGGAAAGGGACTAACTTCGCTATAGACTTTAACTACTTAGGGCTTTCTTAGGCCATGACATGGCAAGTACAACTTGGTGCAAGCACATTTATGAGATAGTACTGCAAGAATGTGTATGTTTGTTCTTGACTTTAAAAGAGATACCGGTAGTCATTCTGTAAATCAATGATTACTAGTAACTGAGTGGGGAGGGGGTGCCTAGTCACTGCCTACATGAAAGGCGCCTAAAGTTTTTTTTTTAAAGTTAGAATATTATTGACACTATAACTAAGACCAATTATCAATGGAGTAGATCTTTGATATTTTAATGAGGTCTAAACCTTTTTATTTTTGTTTCAGGATGATATTTTTCTTCAGTAAAATAAATGAAGGCAAATTCCCTGATAACTGAGACAAATTCAGAGAGAGGAAGGAGAACTACTGAGCTGCTGAATTTCTGACAGGTAGGCTGTACGAATAAGTTGTTGTTTGTATGCCCAGGTACTTCAAGGATGGCATTTGTTCATTCACATTTTTCCATCAATACTTTCATGTAATTGATTAATATGCACTCCACTTTTACCACAATGTACATGCAAGACCTTTTTAATGTTTAACAGAAATAGGTTTCAATGTGCTTCCTTTCATTCTTTTCTCTTTTCATTCAACAGACATACTTGCAAGGACTATGAAGTTCTACTTAGCCTCTTCAATGAACCAGACTCCATCTGCTGTAACTGTGACTTCATGGGGATCAAAACCTGTGTATTATAATCCTCATAACATGAAGCTATGGTAACAAACAAGCAACCATTGATAAAAAGCCTATGTCCTTGTTGTGTGTGTGAACCACAAAGCAACCATCACTCATAAGGATGTTTTTATGTACATCAGATGTTCATTGTTTCACTGGAAAAATTGTGATTTTGAATCATTTAAGAAATCATGTTTTATAATGCGTTTTATAATATAGTGCAAGTCATGATATAACGGATTCCCTGCAAAAGAAACACGGCTCAAAAGTAGACTAAGCTTTGTTTTAAAAAAATGGGAGAAATTAGTGTAACAAATACATAACATTTAATTCTAATAGTTTCAAGTAGCAGATTATGAGGCTATTGGAGCTTAATATTTGACCTTCAATTTTATAATCGTATTCATCGTGAATTACAATCTTTTCTGTTTTAAGAAAAGTAAATAAATTGAACATAATTGTTGATATGTTATATACAATATTCCTTTCATATCTTTTGATTTTAAGTGTGCATACTGTTGGGTTCATTGAATTATACATGGAAAAGTCTTGAAATAGAACAGTGAGAGAACAGAGAGAGAGAGCGAGAGAGAGAGAGATAGAATAAAAGAGAAAGGGAACCAAATGAGAAAGAACAATTTAATGGTGAGAGAAATAAACAATGATGTGAGATAGTGTGTGTGTGAGAGAGAGAGAGAGAGAGAGAGATGGAGATAGGAAGAAAGAGTTGGGGGGGGGGGTACAGTGCCCCCTTTTTCAAATGCCCCTTTTTATATAGGAAAGTTCCCTTTTAACTTTGTAAGAAGTGCCCCTTTTTCCATAGGTAAAGTGCCCCTTCCCCTTTCACCTCTGATAAGTGCTCCTTTAATTTTGACACGGGCCCCTTTTCCTTTGACAAGTTTCCATTTCCTTTGCAATAAGTGCCCCTTTTCACTTTTGAGAAGTGCCCCTTCACCTCTGATAATTGCCCTATTTAAATCTGAGAGGTGCCCCTATTAACAAAATTATCGGTGCCCCTTTTCTTTCAACAAATGCACATTTCCTTTATTATAAGTGCCTCTTTTTCATTCTCATAAGTGCCCCTTTTAAAATATGTTCAATGCTCCTTTTCAGGTGCGTTATGTGACCCTTTTCACCTCTGATAATTTCCCTTTTAACAATGATACAATTCCAGCAAGTGCCCTTTTTGTTGGTGCTGCCCCCCGCTTTGGAAGTCGCTCCGCCGTCCCTGGACGTCATATTGCTCCAGTTGTCGAGGTGATGCATCCTCTCCACACTGCGCGCATCCATTGTCTTAGCCCATTGTCTTAGTGCATCGTGACGTCATATTGCTCAAGTTGTCGAGGTGATGCATCCTCTCCACACTGCGCGCATCCATTGTCTTAGTGCATTGTGACGTCGCAGCTTCGGTACTGAGCATGTGCAGAAACCGTAACCATGGTGAATAATCCATGGACTAAGTTAGGCCAGGTTTAAACCATGGATCAGTTAGGCCACCTTTCGAGAAATGAAAATTACTTAGGTCAGCGGCCTAAGTTAAGCCTGGCCTAACTAAACCACGGTTTAACTTAGGCCAGGTTTAACTTAGGCCGCTTTCGAGAATACCACCCATAGGGTGGTATTCTCGAAAGCGGCCTAAGTTAAATCAGTGGCCTAAACCTGGTTTAAACCATGGACTATCTTTTTTGCTATTCTCGAAGGTGGCCTAAAGATAAGCCAGGCTTAAATACGTCATAGTTCGGCCTAACTTTAGGCCGCGCGCTCAGAGGGCAGGTTTAAATACGTCATAGTTCGGCCTAACTTCGCGTGACGTCACTTTTTAGTTAAATCGACTGTCCGCGGAGAGTGAACGGTAAGTTTTGCATTTGAATTTCTATATTTGATAACAATTTACACTCTTTTGTATGGATAAGCGCTCATGAAAGTTACACCAGCTAATAAAGTATTTTTGTAACTTTCATGTTGCTGTACTGGTGATAATCTAAAATGCTTTTAACTGAATAAATTTGGGGGAAACTTGGTAAATGTTCACAGTGTTCGCAGAGCAGTCCCATACGTGCAAATAATTGTCGGTTAACATTTTCATTTCCTGAGATTGAGCAATTTCTTACCGGGTAATTTTTTTCTTGGCACTATTGTACTTTCGTACGCTTATACCACCTTAACATCACCTTAAAAATATCATTGCTAGACGTAGAAACTACTTTTATAGTGGATTTTCGAGACGCTGTTGCCTAAAAGTGGACTAGCACTAGGCCTAAATCTAGATCTAGCTGTCTCTTTCGTTCGTTAGCCTCTGATTTGGTCGGCTCCTCTCTTTCAGGAGCCGACCCTACCCAAATCAGAGGCTAACGAACGAAAGAGACAGAAATTTCGGTCTGGTATCACCTTTGCCTGAGCTGCAGTGCTAGTTGTGGCTGTTGGTGCGATCATTTCCTACAGGATGATGATGATTTTCATAACCACCCCCAAGAAAACATTTTAAAAAAAATGTTAGGCCTACTAGACCTAGACCTCTAGCCGGCTCTAGACTAGATCTTAATTTCATGAATAAGAGTCTAGTCTAGACAGGTCTAATACAAATTGAAAGGAAATGGACAGAAGCTTCCTTTTTTTGACATAGGTCTACATGTGCTGATAATGTTACAGTAGTTTAGGCTTATAATACTTGTTAGTAAACTAGACGTCTACAGAGAAATTGTAATTTCTTATCAAATATCAACATATTTTTTCATCTTGATTTTCTGCTATTTCAGGTTCTTTTCAATTGATGCACGGGGATGGAGAAAAAAAGGCCTCTCCCAAGCTATGGTGTCCCGCCTTGTGAAGTCCATCTCAATAGCCATTGCCAGGAGATGGGAGCAATACATCACAATTCCTTCAGCAAGAGAGGCAGTCCTGCAGAGTGCAGACCCAACATGAATTGTATAATTACTGCCATTTCCCTGGCGTTAATATGGTCGGTGCTATTGATTGCACCCACATAGGCATCTCCAAGCCAGTTGGCCCAACACCAGTTATTTCCTGAACAGGAAAAAATAGATACTCCATTTTTCTTGGAAAGTCTGCTGGTGAGTAAAGCTGTAATTACGCCTAAATTTTGTAAACTAAATCATGTTTATACAATTTATATTAAAAAGATCTGCTGAATTTATGAATCTGCAGATGTGTCTACAGGTACATTATGAAGTGATTTAAAATTGTTTTGTCTGATAAATGTAGGTGCAACCTACACTCAAACTTTTATTAATTTTACATGGGCACGAGCTAATATTTCAGCTCGATTGCCATGGCTACCAGTCATTCCTGACAGTGACAGCTTGGCCTAGACTTTTGGGCGGAACTATCTGAAAATAAGACACAAATAATCAACAGTTGATTAACTACTTTCAAATTTGGGTCAGAAGAAAATTCAAACCTACCACTAACAATTCTGGAACAAATAAGACTTAGATCTAGAGACCTACAGACTACTGTAACAGTACAGTGCAGTAAATTTTACTTTTACTTTTTCCCCTTTCACAAAGCTTATTTTGGGAGATAACATAAACAAAGACAATCTTTGGTCTAATGTTAGATTGAACTGAAATGGAAAAGTTGGGCTCTAACGATTAGGTCCTTGTAAAATCTCCATTCCAGGCTGCGTTTACATCTAGGTTAGGCAAACTGCCGGCTCGTTATCTAAGTAAGATGTAGACTTGATTTCAGGAAAGGGACTAACTTCGCTATAGACTTTAACTACTTAGGGCTTTCTTAGGCCATGACATGGCAAGTACAACTTGGTGCAAGCACATTTATGAGATAGTATTGCAAGAATATGTATGTTTGTTCTTGACTTTAAAAGAGATACCGGTAGTCATTCTGTAAATCAATGATTACTAGTAACTGAGTGGGGAGGGGGTGCCTAGTCACTGCCTACATGAAAGGCGCCTTAAGTTTTTTTTTTAAAGTTAGAACATTATTGACACTATAACTAAGACCAATTATCAATGGAGTAGATCTTTGATATTTTAATGAGGTCTAAACCTTTTTATTTTTGTTTCAGGATGATATTTTTCTTCAGTAAAATAAATGAAGACAAATTCCCTGATAACTGAGACAAATTCAGAGAGAGGAAGGAGAACTACTGAGCTGCTGAATTTCTGACAGGTAGGCTGTACGAATAAGTTGTTGTTTGTATGCCCAGGTACTTAAAGGATGGCATTTGTTCATTCACATTTTCTATCAATACTTTCATGTAATTGAATAATATGCACTCCACTTTTACCACAATGTACATGCAAGACCTTTTTAATGTTTAACAGAAATAGGTTTCAATGTGCTTCCTTTCATTCTTTTCTCTTTTCTTTCAACAGACATACTTGCAAGGACTATGAAGTTCTACTTAGCCTCTTCAATGAACCAGACTCCATCTGCTGTAACTGTGACTTCATGGGGATCAAAACCTGTGTATTATAATCCTCATAACATGAAGCTATGGTAACAAACAAGCAACCATTGATAAAAAGCCTATGTCCTTGTTGTGTGTGTGAACCACAAAGCAACCATCACTCATAAGGATGTTTTTATGTACATCAGATGTTCATTGTTTCACTGGAAAAATTGTGATTTTGAATCATTTAAGAAATCATGTTTTATAATGCGTTTTATAATATAGTGCAAGTCATGATATAACGGATTCCCTGCAAAAGAAACACGGCTCAAAAGTAGACTAAGCTTTGTTTTAAAAAAATGGGAGAAATTAGTGTAACAAATACATAACATTTAATTCTAATAGTTTCAAGTAGCAGATTATGAGGCTATTGGAGCTTAATATTTGACCTTCAATTTTATAATCGTATTCATCGTGAATTACAATATTTTCTGTTTTAAGAAAAATAAATAAATTTAACATAATTGTTGATATGTTATATACAATATTCCTTTCATATCTTTTGATTTTAAGTGTGCATACTGTTGGGTTCATTGAATTATACATGGAAAAAGTCTTGAAATAGAACAGTGAGAGAACAGAGAGCGAGCGAGAGAGAGAGAGAGATAGAGTAAAAGAGAAAGGGAACCAAATGAGAAAGAACAATTTAATGGTGAGAGAAATAAACAATGATGTGAGATAGTGTGTGTGTGTGTGTGTGAGAGAGAGAGAGAGATGGAGATAGGAAGAAAGAGTTGGGGGGGGTACAGTGCCCCTTTTAACTTTGTAAGAAGTGCCTCTTTTTCCATAGGTAAAGTGCCCCTTCCCCTTTTCACCTCTGATAAGTGCTCCTTTAATTTTGACACGGGCCCCTTTTCCCTTGACAAGTTTCCATTTCCTTTGCAATAAGTGCCCCTTTTCACTTTTGAGAAGTGCCCCTTCACCTCTGATAATTGCCCTATTTAAATCTGAGAGGTGCCCCTATTAACAAAGTTATCGGTGCCCCTTTTCTTTCAACAAATGCACATTTCCTTTATTATAAGTGCCCCTTTTAAAATATGTTCAATGCCCCTTTTCAGGTGCGATATGTGACCCTTTTCACCTCTGATAATTTCCCTTTTAACAATGATACAATCCCAGCAAGTGCCCTTTTTGTTGGTGCTGCCCCCCCCGCTTTGGAAGTCGCTCCGCCGTCCCTGGACGTCATATTGCTCAAGTTGTCGAGGTGATGCATCCTCTCCACACTGCGCGCATCCATTATCTTAGCCCATTGTCTTAGTGCATTGTGACGTCATATTGCTCAAGTTGTCGAGGTGATGCATCCTCTCCACACTGCGCGCATCCATTGTCTTAGTGCATTGTGACGTCGCAGCTTCGGTACTGAGCATGTGCAGAAACCGTAACCATGGTGAATAATCCATGGACTAAGTTAGGCCAGGTTTAAACCATGGATCAGTTAGGCCACCTTTCGAGAAATGAAAATGACTTAGGTCAGCGGCCTAAGTTAAGCCTGGCCTAACTAAACCACGGTTTAACTTAGGCCAGGTTTAACTTAGGCCGCTTTCGAGAATACCACCCAAAGGTCTTAAAAGTGAATGCAAAGGAAACTATTCAGAAAGATGACCACAATATATCAAGAAGTTTTTTATTGAATTTAGATGGATATTTACCCTCTACGAACAAAGATCAAAGGTGGGGAAAACAATTATAATAAGAAACACTTCATATGCAAATGATGCTTATCCTTTCCAGTTCTTTTTCTTTGTAGGGGATGTGGAAGATTGTCTGTTTCATGCCTAAATCACATGTTGTACGAAATAAACATAAAATCCGTAACTTCGTAAAGATGAACAAAAAAATGGCGAAAACTATGGTTTTAAGTTATCATAAATGGATGGTAGCAATTCTAAATCACCCAAGCATTTTAACGTGCTAAGCTAAAGAACTCCTTTAAAGAGAATAGAAAGAAAAAGAATCAGAAAGATGACCACACAATATATAGGATTTTAATTAAATTTTGATGAATACTTACGCCCTATGAACGAAGCCCGAGATTAGAAAAAAAAGATGAAGATAAATAGTAGATTACACTTCATATACAAAATGATCCTCTTCCTTTCCATTCTATTTTCATTTTATTTTTATTTTATTTTTATTTTTTTTTTGTATTTAATGTTTATTTTTAATTTTTATTTTTTTATTTATTTTTTATTTTATTTTTTTTTTTTAAATTTTTTTTTTGGGGGGGGAGATATGATATCATCAGTTAGAAGTCTTCACGAAAAACGTTATGCCATTATTCTTAAGTGACATAAATGGTCTCAATAGTTAAGGAAACTCTTTACCATTGTGCATGAATATCCCTGCTAAATGAACAATGACAACACTAGTTCATCAAAGTACAAAAACACATAATTATAAACATTTAAAACGTGACTGCATAAAAGATAAACAATTACAATCCCGAGAGCTATTGTTGAAAGTTACAATAAATAGGTGGTAGCGATTGTATAACACTCAAGCATTATATCGTGGTGAGCTCAACAAGATCTTCAAATTGATTACCAAAAAAAAAATCAAAAAGATTACAAGAAAACATGTAGAGATTATGATTTAAGTGAGATGGATACTTACGTGCTATGTACGAAACACAAGGGTAAGGGTAAAACAATGAAAACATATATTATAATATACCAATAAACAAATGATGGTCATCATTAGCATGTTTTATATTTGTAGGAAAGTAGGAGATTATAAGTTGGAATACTTAATGACAATGTTCTTGCTTTTTTTTATGAAACGTATGTTAACAAGAGTTTAGGAAAAAAAACTTTATGATGGTGTACGAATATCCCTACTAACTGAAGGACTACAATTCCAGTTTAGTAAAGTAAATCAAACACATATAATACAAAATAGAATCCGTGACTTCATAGAAGATTAAACAAATGAAAGTTTTGAATGCTTTGGTAGAAAATTATCATAAATAGGTGGTAAGATTTCAACGTCACCAAAGCAATCTATCGTGGTAAGCTATACCAAAAAATAGCCTTAAAAGTGATAAATGAGAAAGATTTGCAGAACGATGAACGGAATAAATAAGGGAATTGTACTTATATCTATATGAATACTTACGAGCTACAAATGAATCACAAAGGCAGAGGAATTTAGATAAACAAATGTTCTAAGTGAGTACAAAGTAAAAGATTAAGAAAGATTACCAGAATATATGAAGAAGTTATAATTGAATTGAGATGAATACTTACGCGCTTTGTTCGAAACCCAGGGGTAAAAGTAAAAATATGAACAAATGTAATTATAACAAATGACAATTTTCTTGCTTTTTTTCTATGAAACGTATGTTAACAAGGGTTTAGGAAAATAAACTTTATGATGGTGTACGAATATCCTTACTAACTGAAGGACTACAATTCCAGTTTATTAAAGTAAATCAAACACATGTAATACAAAATAGAATCCGTGACTTCATAGAAGATTAAACAAATGAAAGTTTTGAATGCTTTGGTAGAAAATTATCATAAATAGGTGGTAAGATTTCCACGTCACCAAAGCAATCTATCGTGGTAAGCTATAACAAAAAATAGCCTTACAAGTGATAAATGAGAAAGATTTGCAGAACGATGAACGGAATAAATAAGGAAATTGTAATTATAATTGTATGAATACTTACGAGCTACAAATGAATCCCAAAGGTAGAGGAAAAAAGATAAAGATATATGTTTAAATTACACTTCATACAAAAATGATACTTATTTTTTATTTCTCTTTCATCATGGGGAAGAATAAGATCATCAGTTGCAAGCCTGACATATCGTGGTGAGCTAATCAATATCTTTAAATTGTATACATAAAAAAAGATTCAGAAAGATTACAAGGAAATATGGAGAAGTTATGATTTAATTGAGATGTATACTTACGCGCTATGTACGAAACACAAGGGTAAAGTTAAAATATTAAAAAATTGTATTATGATAAACTTCGTTTACAAATGATGCTCATTATTTGCTTTTTTTCTCTCTCTCTTTTGGGGGAAGTAGGAGATTATTAGTAGGAATACTTAATGACAATGTTCTGCTTTCTTTTATTTTATGAAACGTATGTTAGCAAGGGTTTAGGAAGAAAAAATATGACGGTGTACAATTATCCCTACTAACTGAAGGACTACAATTCCAGTTCAGTAAACTAAATCAAACACATATCATACAAAATAGAATCCGTGACTTCAAAGAAGATTAAACAAATGAAAGTTTTGAATGCTATGGTTGAAAATTATCATAAATAGGTGGTAAGATTTCCATGTCACCAAAGCAATCTATCGTGGTAAGCTATACCAAAAAATAGCCTTAAAAGTGATAAATGAGAAAGATTTGCAGAACGATGAACGGAATAAATAAGGAAATTGTAATTATATGTATATGAATACTTACGAGCTACAAATGAATCCCAAAGGCAGAGGAATTAAGATGAAAATATGTTTTGAGTGAGTACAAAGTAAAAGATTAAGAAAGATTACCAGAATATATGAAGAAGTTATAATTGAATTGAGATGAATACTTACGCGCTTTGTTCGAAACCAAGGGTTAAAGGTAAAAGAATAAACAAATGTAATTATAACAAATGACAATGTTCTGCTTTCTTTTATTTCATGAAACGTATGTTAGCAAGGGTTTAGGAAGAAAAAATATGACGGTGTACAATTATCCCTACTAACTGAAGGACTACAATTCCAGTTCAGTAAACTAAATCAAACACATATCATACAAAATAGAATCCGTGACTTCAAAGAAGATTAAACAAATGAAAGTTTTGAATGCTATGGTTGAAAATTATCATAAATAGGTGGTAAGATTTCAACGTCACCAAAGCAATCTATCGTGGTAAGCTATACCAAAAAATAGCCTTAAAGTGATAAATGAGAAAGATTTGCAGAACGATGAACGGAATAAATAAGGAAATTGTAATTATATCTATATGAATACTTACGAGCTACAAATGAATCCCAAAGGCAGAGGAATTAAGATGAAAAAATGTTTTGAGTGAGTACAAAGTTAAAAATTAAGAAAGATTACCAGAATATATGAAGAAGTTATAATTGAATTGAGATGAATACTTACGCGCTTTGTTCGAAACCAAGGGTTAAAGGTAAAAGAATAA